ACAGCCACCACAGCCTCGACCTGCTGGGCCCAAATAATCCTTCTGCCTCAGCCTTCCAAGTAGCTAGAACTACAGGCATGCATCACCACATCCAGCTAATTTTTATTTATTTACTATAGAGACAAGGTCTCGCCACATTGCCCAAGCTTGTTTCGAACCCCAGGCATGATGTTTCTCTCTCACCTTTCCTCATGAGAAAATCCAAAGCTGTTCCCAACTCTGAACTTTAACTTCAGACAGCTTTAGCTACTGATGGCTCTGATGTTTGTTTTTGTTTGTTTGTCTTTAACTTTTATTTCGATGGCTTTAGGAAGGTTATTGGCTGCATTACTTTTGGTTACTGGATGCATTGTCCAGTGGGGAAGAAGTCTGGGCTTTAAGGTACCCATCACCCCTCCTGTGCACGTTGTACCCAACAGGTGATTTTTCAACCCTACCTCCTCACCCTAACCCTTCTGAGTCTCCAGTGTCCATCATACGATTCTCTGTGCATCAGCAGGTCCTTAACTTAGCTCCTACTTGTGAGTGAGATCATACAGTGTTTGGTTTTCTGTTCCTGTGTTAGTTTACTTAGGATGATGTTCTCCATTTCCATCCAAGTTGCTGCAGAAGACAGGATTCCATGCCTTTTCATGGCTGAATGGTGTTCCATGGTATGTGTGTGTGTGTGTGTGTCACATTTTGATTATCCACTGATCAGTTGATGGGCATTTAGGTTGATTCCACATCTTTTACAACTGTGGCTTGTGCTGCAATAAACTTAAGAATGCAGGTGTCTTTTTTGTATAACAACCTCCGTTCCTGTAGGCAGATACCTAGTAGTGGGATTGCTGGATTCAGTGGTAGATCTACTTTTAATTCTTTGAGAATTCTCCATACCGATTTCCAAGGAGGTTATACTAGTTTACACTCCCAGGCTCTGGTTTTTGAAACCTCTGGGGGCCTTGCAAATAAGCTGCGCTTCTGGAATTTCTTCATAGCTGCTTTTAAAGTGTGTCCATTTGTGATTGTTCCCACTTAGGAGAAATCTGGGAGAGTTTCTTTGTCTCTTCGAGCATCAAGACTCTAACAGCCTATACCAGCATCTTAGTCAGCAATCTACTTTATGCCCATATTCTGACCAGGTTGTTAAGAGTGGGGTCAGATCTCCTCCTTGCTCAGATGGCTGTCCTGAAGGCCCTGGTACTTCTTCCTGTGACTGGCCCCTTAAAGCCTCCTGGGATTTTCTTCCTCCTGTCCTTCTAAAGAACCATCAAGACAGATCATTCTAGATCTGGCTTTATTCCCTTTGGTGGCTGCCAGCTGTTGGTGCCCTTCTTTCTAGAATGCCTAAATGAAAATGAAGCAGGTCTTGCTTCTGCCACTTCTGCAGTTTGGGAACAATTCTGCTGGCAACATGAAAACCAACTTTTCTCAACACAGTGTTCCTAGAAAAAAAATAAAAATAAGTTAAAAAGTAGAAATAAAACCATTGTTTTCTGTAATTAAATTGAACTGTTTTACACTCTTGAGCCTTCTGAATATAACTTGAACAAACAAGATAATATTTTTTTAAACAAGCAAAGTTTTCCCTCAAAAGGTGCAGATTTCACTTCAGGGTTCATCCTATTTCTTTTATTTAGTAAAGTTCTCTATTGGCTGTTTCCTATCTTGAGGTATTCTTCCAACCATCTGCATATTCCCCCAGAAGACTGCTAGTATTATTAAAATAACTTCATCTAATATCTTCAATTGTTTAATATTTAATAAGCACCTCCTGCATACAAAGTATAGCACCAAGAGCTGGGAGAAATTTAGCAAAATACAAACCTCACAAAATGAGGCTCAAAAATGTGCATTTTCCCAAACTGTTATTACTATGAATTCCTATGTTTCTTGTGCTTTTGTGAATCTAATGGCATGGCATTTGGTGAAATTGTATTATGATGGTAAATAGGTTAATAATAACCATATATTGTATACAGCAAAGAATGGAGAGAATATATGAACAGTATTATAGACTGCAAAGATGGTGGAAGATGAATTGAAATTCTTTGAGTTGTTTAAATAAAATATATATACATATGGTTATATGTCCCTCTCTGTCCTCAAGGAAGTTTCTGTAGTCTAGTTATAGAGAAAGGACGTGAGCACAAATAATTGATGAAAGGCAGTAATGGAAACCCCTGATTTATGTGCACCTATTCCAGTTAAATCACCCTCCAAACCAAGCAGCCTGTGAGCTCACATTCCCTCCTCCCTTGGGACCCTTTGGGGTGTTATAAGTATTCAGTGTCACGTGAAGACTAGGTAATGTGCAGATGGCAGTGCTCTTTGCCTCTTCTACACCTTTTGCTGGCATCCCATGTATTCCCAAGCAGTGAGAGTAAGGGCAACAGAAAACTGTACGTCTTACGTTGGTACGTTGAAATCCTGAGCTCGTGGGTATACATTTCTGATTGGGGACCAGTAAGAGAACAACAGTAAAGGCAATCATACACCTTGATCAAACTGGGCCTCTGTGACTGAGGGGCCCTGTGACATGGGCCAGCCTGGAAATCAAACTCGTTATTGTCATTGCTGATGAACTGTGGCCAGAGCTACCAGAGCACCTCTTAGGGTCTTAGCCTTCAACAAGCCACACCATCACTGGCAGATGCGCATGTGTGTTTGCCGTGTGGTTTTGTTTCAGCCCCTTTCCCTTTTCACATTGGGATCACTGAGAATTTCCACTCACTCACACAGTTTCACCGAATTCTCTTTTTGTACCTGGTTCGTTGCAGCCTGGTGTCTTATACACAGTTTATTGTTGATATGCATTTGCCCTCAGTGTGAGCCATGTAATTCCCTAATCCATCTAACCGCCTTGCTGAAGCAGAGAGATGTCTGTGTGCCTGGGCTCACCCTTATTGCCTCCTTCCCCCTTTCGGCTGACCCTGGCGGCCCTGCTGCAGACGCCCCTCCTTGATCATGTCCGCAGCAGGGCCCCTTAGTCTCCACATGTGACAGTGCCCCTCCCTCCTCCCTCCTGGGCTGCTGGGCCTCCTCCCTGCATACACATACATACCTCACCTCCCGCCACCCACCCGCGCGTCCTGTCCATGGTCACCCAGTATCTTTTTGTAAGATGCATTTGATTGTGTCACTAATTCTTCTTTAAGATTTCTAAGCCAGTAGGACAAAATCCAAACAGCCTGGCCTTCATAGAACTTCCTTTATCCTCTGGCCCCACATTCCTCCCACCATCTCACCCCCTGCCTCGCCCTACCCCGAAGCACCCTGCCCTCCACCCCTGCTCCATTTCTCGCGCCCCCTCAGTCATACTCCCCTAGGTTGCCCGCCCCACTCCAGGGCTGCTTCTTAGCTGCCACCCAACTCAAATGTCCCATCTCCAGTGAAGTCCCCTCCGCTTTGCCCAGATTTCCAGCTCTCTCCTCTTCGCTCCGTCCTTCCACAGCTGCTACCATCGTGTGTTGAAACCCTCCAGTTATGCAACTGCCTCATGGCCCAGACTAGGAATCACTTGACAGTAAGGCCATGCCTTGTTGACTTTGTTCTCTGAGGACCCATCACAGTGTCTGGCACTCAGAACAGTTACTGTGTGAATTAGTAAGTGTCAAGGAAGTATATAACGGATTTTAGAAAGATGTCTGTTTAAATGGCTTAGATGGAAGAAAAGCTGTGATTCTTACCAAAGCAAAGTTCCATTTATCCAGAAAATTCATTTATATGAATCTGCTGATGCTCCCATAATGCTGGAGAAAATTAACATTATGATATTTTTGATGGTTTGCAATTATCACAAGAATGGATAATGATCAGATTTACACAGAGCATTTCTAAGATAAACTCTCAGTTGTAACAGACATGTTGGTTTTTGTTGGAGTACTCATGAAAAGAAAGCTTTTGTCTATACTTCTCTTTGAAAGTTAAGGATCCAGTTTATTTGAAGACCGCAGTATCTGGTGGTTTCAAATTTTTCTTTGCATCCCTACAAAATCACAGTGAGATTTAAATTTTAGATGCTGCGCCACAGCCTTGATGATATTACACAAATAAATTGTAGCCTCACAAACTCATCTTTATATTTCAAAAAAGATGGTCTAGATGGCATACAGAAAAACTATAATAGTTTCTTTTGTTTTTTATTTTCTCCCAGTTACTTTTTTAAAGAACAACAGCAAAAACTGTTAGGGTCTTAAAATCAGTTTATTTCTACATCAGATTTATCCTAAAGTAACATACATTTATTCTAAAGTAGACATTGTACAGCAAACACTAGTTTGCCTTGAATCTGATTGTTTATTTGTATACAAGTAAACATAAGTTACCTGTTCATCCAGTTCATTAAGAAACTACCATTTCTATGGCATGCATTAAATATTTAAAATTGCATGGCAGGAGAATCACTTGAGGCTGGGAGTTCGACACCAGCCTGGGCAATATAGTAAGACCTCGTCTCTACAAAAGAATATAAACTGATTATCATATTGCATATTATCTCTTTATTGTGCTCAGTGGGAGATATAAAAATAATTTGTTTTGTCAAGTCAAAAAATAAAACAATGAATCTCTTTGTAAGAATCATATATAATCAAAGAGTAGAAAGTATATGATTTTTAACAATTACTGGCAACAATTTTTTAATTTGGATAGTTCATTAATAATATTCAGAGAAAGTTTTTTAAGCAGCACAGACTTATTGATATAGCTTTACATATTTGTTTTCTCATCCTGTTTGAGCTCTTGTTAATTTGTATACGCATGTCTCAGGTTAATTTATGACAGGATAAGATTGAAAATGGGTAACATATTAAAATATCTGTTATCTGTATACATTTTTAAGCAAATTGTTCAAGAGACGTTTCTTTTTTTTAAGTCTTAAATGAAGGATAGAATTAAGTAAAACAATACTAGTTTAAAGCAGAAATTGCTAATTCCACTTATAGTTAATAAGTTAAAAGTTTTATTCATGGATTTTTATAAAGTGGTTTAATATGCTACATTTCTTTTTCTGGCAGGAACTTATTCCAGAGTTCTACTACCTACCAGAGATGTTTGTCAACAGTAATGGATATAATCTTGGAGTCAGAGAAGATGAAGTCGTGGTAAATGACGTTGATCTTCCCCCTTGGGCAAAAAAACCTGAAGACTTTGTACGGATCAACAGGATGGTAAGAGAGATTTTGTTTTTGCTTGAGCAGTCATCGGGAAATCAACATATTCTATAGTTTTGTTTTGTTTTGAAGTGTTACAGATTGCCACTTAACGTCTATAAATACAAGGTTAAAATTTAAGGAAATTTTTAGGGGGAAAAAAAGAAAGCATCTTAGTGTTGACTTTTGACAGTGTTCCTTGTTGTAGAGTACATTTCCCTTTCATGAGGACTAATAAAGGAACAGTAATTCAGTTATATTTGCCCCCCTAGGAGAAGACAATCAAATGAGCATCTGGTGACTCATATAACATATTCTAAAGCACTTCAAATAAATACCCATTCCTTATGGGTATGTCTGCTTCCTATGTCTACTGGCTAAAACTGTATACTTTTTTCACTTATGAAAGTATTCAAAACAGAAAAAGGTTTCATACCTTACAATGTAATATACTTGACTTTAAGAGAACACTCATCTTGTAAACATTCTTAGAAAAGTCATTATTTTTTAATCTATATGACAGATGTCTGAATGGTCAATTAAGAAGTATGTAGATAGAATGTTCGCATGTGGGAATTTTAAAGATTTAATATACCTTTACCCATATTTAAGGAGGTTGTAATCTCAATGTGTTTTTAATGCATGGAAATGGACCACTTTACAAAACAATCTTTCTAGTGTTCTTGCTAAATTGAAGAATTATGTTAATAAAATCAGTGACCCAAAATATGTTTCACTCACTCCCAAGTTTTTTCTACTGTCTCATAAATATATTTTATTTTGTTTTTGCAGCTTATTTATTTGAGTCAGAATCCAAATAAAGCTTACACACTGTGATGGAGTTCACATATTCCTTAATCCCCCTTTTTAAGAGCTTCATTGAGATATAATTTGCATCCCATACAATTCACTCATTTAAAGTAAAGAAAAAAAATCAGTGTTTTAGTGTATTCGCAGAGTTGTGCAGCCATTTCCATGACCAGTGTTAGAGACTTTTAATTCCCTTATAGGGAATCCCATACCTCTTATCCCCTCATTCTCCCTAGTCCCCCCAGCTAGCCTTAGGCAACTACAAATCTACTTTCTATCTCTATCAGAAATGCCTATTCTGGACATTTCTTGTAAACAGAATCATATGCTATGTGGGTCCTCCTGTCTGTCCCCTGAGTTTGTGCCCTTTTTTTGGACTTCCCTGTCAGTCACATGTACCTTCCATCATGGAGCTATATTTTCTGTCTCTAATAAATATTTTAATATACTTTATTTTAGAAAATAGTTGCTGATGTAAAAGCCCTATGCTCAGGCCCAGCCCGGTGGCTCACGCCGATAATCCCAGCACTTTGGGAGGCCAAGATGAGAGGATTGCCTAAGCCCACAGGTTCGAGACCAGCCTGGGCAACTTGGTGGGACCTCATCTCTACAATAAATCCAAAAATTAGCCGGGTATGGTGGCACATGCCCGAAGCAGAAGGATCGCCTGAGCCCAGTAGGTTGAGGCTGCAGTGGCTGTGAGCGTGCCACTGCACTCTAGCCTAGGCAACAGAGTGAGACTCCAACTCAAAAAAAAAAAAAAAAAAAGCCCTATGCTTAAATGCACCCTCCAGATAGTCTGCAATACAGTTCCCCCTGTTAGAGAATATCATGTATTGTATAACTTTTAGGTATAATTTCTCTCACTTTTCAATCTGTTAAATTGGTACTTTCAGATATGTAGTTATTTTATACTATCTCCTTGAAAAATAAATTATTCTACTCATATTTTTAGTATGAAGGATCTATATTTCAGTAATATCTACTTCCAAAAATCTGTACTTCTTTTTAGAATTGTACAATATAATGATTTTTAGTAAATGTACAAAGTTGTATGACCATCATCAGAGTCTAATTTTAGAACATCACCATCATCCCAGAAAGATCCCACTCCCACCTCCAGTCCCAGGCAACCATGGATCAACTTTTTATCTCCACAGGCTTGCCTTTTCTGTACATTACATACAAAAAGAATCATGTAATATGTGTTCTTTGAGGTTTGGCTTCTTTTATCTTCCATAGTTTTTGAAATTCACCCATGTTGTAGCATGTATCAGTACTTTGTTCCACTTTTTGCATAATAATATCACATTTTTAGAATATCACACTGTGTTAATTCATCCATCAGTTGAACATTTGAGTTGTTTTCACTTTTTAGCTATTATGAATAATGCTGCTGTGAGCATTCACATTCAAGTTTCCAATATGAAAATACATTTTCCTTTCTTTGGAGTATATGTCTAGGAGTACTGGGTCATATGGTATGTTTACGTTAGACTTTGAGAGAAACTGCCTGACTGTTTTTTAAAATGGTGGTACCATCTTGTATTCCCACCAGCATTGTATGATGGTTCTAATTCCTCCATAGCCTCACCACTACTCGTTATTTTTTTTACTCATTTTTTTAACTCGTTTTTTTTTATTACAGCCATTCCAATAGATGTGAAGTAATATCTCATTACATATTACAGCTTTAATTTACATTTCCCCAGTGACCAATGACATTGAGCATCTCTTCGTGTGTTTTTTGGATGCTCAAATGTTCTTAGATATATTTTAATAAAACATTAGTGATTCATTATAGACACAACCTTTGCTTTCTTCGTTGACCAAGAAAGCTTTATATGCCCGCAGAATTAATAATTTTATCATTAATATACCTAAATTAACTAGAAAATGCAATCATACTTCTAAAAACAAGTCCCTTGGGCAACATCATATCAAAAATTTTTTGCATGTAGGAAAAGCTAACAACTATTATGGATGAGAAAACGATCAAGTAATTAGTGTTGGGATAAACTAAATAGGCAAGACCATACACTCATGACCATATCTGTAGAAAAATGGCAGTGCTTCTTTTAGCTAGTATGTTAGGTGGGAATGCAATCCAGCTAAATAAACTTTCCAGATAAATACAGTTTCTAGACTTTCTAGATAAGTGAGAACGTTTTTGAAAGATTGTTATGGTTATCTTTTTTAAAGTTTTATTTTTAATTGAAAAATAATAATTGCATATATTTATGAGGCATAAGGTCATATTTTGATACATGTATATAAATCAACATAGCATATCCATCACCTCAAATATTCATCATTCCTTTGTGGTGGGAACATTCAAAATCCTCCCTTTTAGCTATTTTGAAATGTGGTACTTTATTATTAATGCTAGTCACCCTGTTGCACAATAGCACACCAGAACTTATTCTTCCTCTATAACTTTGTACCCATTTACCAATGTCTCCTCTTTCCCCTGGTAACAACCATGCTCCTCTCTGCTTCTGTGAGTTTGACTTTTTTCAGACTCCACATATAACTGAGATCATGTGATGTTTGTTTCTTACTGGTTTATTTTACTCAACATAATGTCCTTTGGTTTCATACATGTTGTTCAAATGACAGAATTTTCTGTTTTTTAAGGCTGAAAATATATACCACAGGTATATACACCACATTTTAAAAATGCGTTTATCCATTGATGGACACTTAGGTTGGTTCCATATCTTGGCTGTTGTAAAAAATGCTGCAGTGAGCAGGGGAGTGCACACATCACTTTACCATAATGATTTCAGTTTCTTTGGGTAAATACCCAGTAGTGGATTGCTGGATCACATGGTAATGCTATTTTCAGCTTTTTTTTTTTCTTTTGAGTTGGAGTCTCACTCTGTTGCCCAGACTAGAGTGCAGTAGCATGCTCACGGCCACCACAGGTGACCTGCTGGGCTCAGGCAATCCTTCCACCTCAGCCTTCCAAGAAGTTGGAACCACAGACGCATGCCACCAGGCCTGGCTAGTTTTTTTATTTATTGTAGAGACGAGGTCTCACCTAGTTACTCAGGCTGGTCTTAAACCCTGGACTCAGGCAATCCTCTCACCTCCACCTCCCAAAGTGCTGGGATTACAGACATGAGCTACTGCACCCAGCTATTTTTTGTTTTTTGAGGTACCTCTAAACTGTTTTCCGAGACGTCTGTACTAATGATAATACCATCAGCAATGTATGAGGGTCCCTTTTCTTCACATCTTCACCAATACCTATCATTCATCTTTTTGATAATAGTCCATCTAACAGATGTGAAGTGATATCTCATTGTGGTCTTAATTTGCATTTCTCTCATGATTAGAGATGTTGAGCATTTTTTCATATATCTGTTGGCCATTTGTATGTCTTCTTTTGAGAAATGTCTGTTTAGTTCCTTTGCCCATTTTTCAAATTGGGTTATTTGTTTTCTGGTTATTGAGTAGTTTGATAATCAATTATGGTTATTTGTCTAAAATTTATTACTGCTTAGTTCCCTACACTTTTATCCAGAGGATGAAACTTAACTCATATATATATATATATATATATATATATATATATATGTTTTGAGTCAGAATCTCACTCTGTTACCCAGGCTGGAGTACAGTGGCACACTCGTGGCCATTGCATCCTTAACCTGCTGGGCTCAGGTGATCCTTCCACATCAGCCTTCTAAGTAGCTGGAACCACAGGTTTGTGTGCTCATTCCTGTAGAGACAAGGCATTGCCAAGTAACCCAGGCTAATCTTGAACCCCAGGGCTCAGGCAGTCCTCTCACCTCCACCTCCCGAAGTGCTGAGATAACAAACGTGGGCAACCACGCCCGGCCTTCACTCTTCTATTAAAAAAATCAGATTTATTATCCCGAGGGCCAATTATTATTCTGTGAAGCGATACAACTCTCTATCTATTCTTTTTCTGTTTTCTTCTTCAGATTGTGAGCTATCAGCAGTTTCCTTAATATCTCTCAACCATACTGATTAGAATTTGTTGTTTATAACCTCTTGTAGACCCCCAAACCAGATAATCTATTTTGTCAAGGCCTTGAGATAGACTTAAGCATCAGTCAAGTGCTCAGTGAGGCCCTGGAGGAAATGTACACTTTGCAACTCTGACAGAGGATGATACTAGCTTCTTCCTCAGGTTTCACTGGCTACTGTCTGGTTGGCTCCAAATTTGGGAGTTGTGT